ATTACTTTATTTTTCATATTAGGCAGTATTGTTTGTTCTTTATTTCAAAAATATTGAACTAGCTTATTTTTTATCTGATCAACTGATGTTTTATTTGATTTTATAGATACATAGATACGTACTACATGACTATGCTTACAAAAATCACGAAATGATCTATATCAAATAAAATCAAGACAAGTGTATTTACCTGTAATATAATTTACTAAGTAGTAATCAGGCTGTATTGGAACTATATGTTTTGCTACAAGCTTTTTAATCATCTTCGATATTTCTTGAGCTTTATTATCTTTGAACTTAATCTTGTCTGCTATATATAGAGATCGAAAACTATTTTGCTATGAATTACTCATACATACATAAAATAAGTTTGAATTGTCTGGAACTTTAGTAACATAGTTTTGTAGCACTTTTAATTTTTTTGATTAATACGATGCATTATATCTGGTTGCAATCAGTACAATCCATTTTGATGCTCAATAGTATACGAGTTCCAATATATAACAAGCTCTGTATTAAACACTAACTGACTATAATTGTTTGTAAGATTTGAACAAACAACTTTAATGCTATAAAGTTATTCAATAAAAGTTAACACTATTTGAGTACCCGAATATTACTCTTCAATAGTTCTATTCATTCATTCAATAAAATTATTAGTAGTCTATGGTTTTATATTAGTTTTATCTTCATGACTTGGTAAACACCTACTATCTATAAAACCAAGAATCCATTCTTGACTTATCCAATTTTCTTCAAAATCATATACAAAAAATGCTTTTGCCTCCATGGAGATTAGAAGTGAATGTATAAAGCTTTTGTATTTAATGGCTATTTCTCTGGCTTCAGATACACTTTTGTATCTATCAACAATTTTAAATACTAATACTATTGGATATCTATATAATAATATAGTGCATATATAAGTAATATAATTTAATTAATATAATACAGTACTCAGTGAAATATTGTATAATTCAATTCTTGTATTCAAAATTGGATTAGACAATACTTTTTATTAACTATCATATATTACCATAGGCTTCAATCAATTTTTTGTGTCCGAAAATAATTTTGAAAAGTCTGCATTATATGGAATCAACAAAGAATTGTATTGCAAATAATAGGCTTCAACGTAGCTTTTGTTGATTGATGTTTGTCCATTATTGCAAAAAGATTCCATTCAATTGCACATGGTTGTATATGTTTAAATCCTTTATTATTTGGCAGTATAATATATTTATACGGGTGTTCACAACTTGTATTTCGACAAGGTATGTTTGCCTTTATTGTCTTAACAGCAAGTCATATTGTATATATATTTTTCTTATTAGATAAAGCAAATCCTATAGGTATACTCTAGTTTCCACAATCTTCTACTACAAATACATGAATAGGTGCTTGATCATTGTTAAGATCATATTTTGCATCGATACTGAAACAGAATAAACTATAATTATGTGCTTGTTCTAATCACATATTATCACTTACAGTAAGTTGATAATAATGATGTAGTGAATTTAAGGGAGCAGTTTGATCTTCTTGCTGATAATAAAGAACAGAGCCATTTTTTTTAATTTATCTATAATCAATCCATGCAATATGGTCTATGGACCCACATCATCACGAATATATCTATTGTTTTGCTCTAAAAGTTGTTAAAGTTTTTTTTCATTACAAATATTGGTTCTATCTTTTTCTTCTATCTCTAACTGTTCTTTCGACATACCATTAAACAAAGCTAGAAGTTTGAGTTTTATTTCTTTTGCTATGTATTCATCTGCTTGTCGATTTAAAATAACCTGATCTCTTAAACTTCTCTTTAGATTAAAGTGTGTAATGGCTCTTTTATATTGAATAAAAACATTCGTAGATATGTGCTGACCTTCTATACACAATTAAATAG